AACCTCCTCCACCGTCAGACGACCGTCAAAATTAAAAACCCCCTGCCATGGCATCACTGCCGACAACCACCTCCTTGATTTTGAAAAACCCTAACAAAACGATTAAAAGGTTTTTTATTGTGTGCATCTTGCTTGCAAATACTGATACTTGTTTTGGCTTTGCATGATTATGTATGTATGTGATGCTAGGGTGAATTAGAAGCAAGTTGCAATTGGGTTTGGACTTGATTTGAGCATGTTTTAGTAAATAAGAGCCAAAAATTCGAAGGGAGATGGTGGTCGCCACGAGGATAAGGGGGAAAGGGAGGGTTAACTGGTGGTGGAGGTAGGTCGCCGGAGGTGGGGGTTGCTTTCAAGGGAGGGGGAAAAGGATGAAGAAGGGGAAGGGGTGGTTGGTTGGTGGTTGGGTTGGTGAGTTTTTTTTTTTAAATGTATAAATTAAATCTAATTATTAAGTAATTAGATGGGTTAGAGGCTAATTAGAATAAATAGGAGGAAATTAGAGTCTAATTAAGTTAATTAGAGGATAATTAAGGAAATGAGTTTTCTCTCAAAAAAAAAAAAAAAGCGGTGGTTTTTTTTTTTTTTTTTTTTTTTTTTTTTTTTTTTTTTTTAACAAAAAAGCTTTTAAAAAGTTTTTCTTTTCGCAAAATGGTGCTTTAAATTTTTTTTAAAAAAAATAATTCCCAAATTTAACGTGGCCTAGTCACTAACGAAGATGAGTTAGTCACGTCAGGTAAATGATTTTGGCACACCCTTGATTGATTTTAGCGCATCCCTATGTGAGAGCACAATTTTCTAGCTCATAGAAGTGTGCCAAAATCAATAAAGGGTGTGCCCAAATCAATTTCCGTCACGTCACAGACAAAGAGAGAAGAGAGTTTTATTAATCTTAAGGATAATTGTTAGAGATATGATATCATCAATGCTAGGAGAATAATATTGATGATATCATATCTTTAACAATAATAGATTAATAAAATACTGACTATGCTAAAACCTAAGTTAGTAAAGCACTTCGAAAATTAGTCTCAGATCATAGCCTCATATTAGAAAAATGTAGTTCATGTAATAGATACTCCGTAATAAGTTTCAAGGATGTTGCCCTCAAACCCCCAAAATTGGGTGTATAGGCCTTTGAACTCGACTTGTTGAATATAGTTCGAAGGGTGCTAATAAATTGGAATATTCAAAGAACATGTATATGTTCATGAAAAACTAGGAAAACATAGTAAATCAATTCAAAATGACAAGTAACATGACATTTCAATTCAAATGACAAATTATAGTTTCTTGGAGAGTCAAATCAAATTAATTCAACTTGTGCCTTGTCCTTTCCTCTTTGCACTAGGTGAAATTAGTTGCCGTGATTTCTTGTTCATCTTATAAGATTTAACACTTAATTGGACCATCTATATATATAATAAATCGTTGCTCGACTCATTATCATTCTTTATATGGCTTGAGGTTCATTCTCAAGTGGACTTGATTATTCATTTAAAAGCCAATACACCTTTTAGCACATACAATTTATATTTATCAGTGTTAAATTTCAAAACGATATGAAACGGGTCTGGGTAACCCGAATAAGGAGAAGGAGAGTTAGGTCCACAAACAAGGTCAAGGAGCTTCCATACCAAAACCAATTGGCAATAATAGGAGTAACTTCTCTATCTTATAAAGTGGAACCACCTCTCCTCTTTCTCCAATGTGGGACACTCACAAGTGGGTTACAATGGGTTTCAACAGTCAGTCTTGATTCATGAATTATTTAACAATATAGTTTTATTACAAAGAAAAATACTTCTTTATTTCATTTTTAAATGATATTCTTGTTTCAATTTTTGCACTATTTTCAACACAACAATTACGTATAAATACTCCAAACGAGTGAATCAAATAAAATCTTACTTGAATTTTTTTTCCTTGCATATCTATCTTATTAGATTATTAAATCCTATTTTAATTCATTGGATCTAAATGAAATATTAGAAACAAAGAGTGTATGAAAATCGAAAAAATAGGGTGAATCAGACTCACGACGAGTCTAATATATCTGACATTAATAATCTAATATATGACATTAGATTATTAATGACATATATTAGATTTCTCATGTTAGATTTTAATTCATTGCATATCTCATGTTAAATTTTAGATTATTAATGTCAGATATATTAGACTAACGCAAAACATTTTCTATGTAAATAGAATGGCTAATAAACAATTATGAACCATTAAAAGTTGCACTTGCACATGTAAGCATCAAATATGTTTCCTAATTCAATATTTAATTTTGGAATGTAAAAAAGCTCTATTTTATAGTTTTTTTTTTTTTATTTATGTATGCTTAATATTATAACTTTGTAACTCATTGTTTACAACCCTAAGAACTACATGTCAAAAAAAAAAAAAAAGATAAACCATAAGTCTCCCATCAAAAAAAAATAAAAAAAAAGGCCCTATATAAGGCTATAAGCCATTTCTAAGAATCAGTGAATTAAAAGTACAAACAAATTTGATTTGAAGTCAGAATTTTTCAAATTGATTGTTGTCTCATAGGTTAGAAAAAAAAATTATTGAAACCAAATCAAAGGATTCCAATCGGTGCTCTCATGACCATGTCCTTGAAAATTAGTGTCTTTACTAACAATTGATTTTTATCAATTTCAAACTTCAAGAGGCAACTTCAAGACTCATTTATTAAGTATTAAGGATATTTATAATTGTCTTTTTAAGTACCAGTTGAGGGGTACATGTGTCTTTTTATGTACTAGTTGAGGGGTATATGTGTAATTTCCTCATCAAACAGTAAAAGCAAGTTGCAAACAGTAATTGGGCAGCTCACCAACAGTACTAAATAAATGACCACGCTTTTTCAATATATTTACAAAAATGCCATCAAATTAACAAAAATTCGTTTATCTGGTAGATAAACTTGTACTTGCCCAATATTTATAATAATTAAAGGTCTAACCAGGTAGATACCTTTAGAATACTCCAAACCCTACAATAATCTGTAGAGTTGCTTGTTTGTAACTTTGTATCAACATGGTCAAAGAAATAAGATGGTAAAAGTGTAAAATAAATTTAAAATATAAGTAGATGGATAGAATTAAGGAACATTTAACGTAGAATGTAAACAACCGGTAAAACTAAAAGCGGAGAGCTAAATAAAGTAGTACTCATACAACATATAATACAAGCAAATACACAATTGAATGAATACTATCCTAACTTTGATGTAGCTTGACTTACAATAATATTTTCAGCTAGTTTTCTCTCTCTCTCTCTCACACACACACAAAAAATGAACACAAATTAACCAAATTATCAGGAAAATACGTAGAAAGTGAGAACCGTCATCCAGAAATAGTACGTTTACTGGATAGGATTCATAGGATTATACATACTTGGTATGTACATTGTACCAAGTAGTATAAACAAATCAATTGACCCTAAACTATGTCAAAGAGGTAAAAGGGTATTTTGGTAATTGTAGCTGATTTGAACCTGGCCTATTTTCTACTTTTTAAATAACCAGTATATTTTTGTAGTTTTGTTTTGGTGTTTCGTCTTAGAGCAAATTCCAAGGGCAATTAGGACCAATTGTGGGTGATATATTGATGTTATATCTACTTGCGGACAAGACAAGGCACATGAAGAGATGAGCTACCGATCGATGAGAGCCGAGTAAGGCAAGGGAGGGACAATATATATTAATAATTTAATTAAGAGATTTGTGTCGACGTGTAAATTGTCTATTTTTCGGGTAATTTTAAATTTGATTTCAGGGTAAGGTGCTAAAACATGCATAGATGTTTACTAAGAGGATAAATTTAAGATAACAAACTTGCATAGATGTTTACTAAGGGGATAATTTATTTATTTATTTTTTGAAACAAATTAAGGGGCTAATTTAAGATACCAATATTAACGATAAAAAAATAGGCAACTTTTATTTGAATTCAGTTGATTTTTAATCATTTTAGAGGTAATATAATTTACACCTAATGTAAAATATATTTGTTTTTAAATTCTTAATTAAATCTTGTCATTTGTGATTGTATAATGTTTCATGTTTGAGGTAGAATATTAATCGATTGAATGGATCTTCATTAAGTTAATTTTACTTGTTAAAATATTTAGGTTGGTTCTAGGTTTAGTTGGGTTAAAGTCTGGTTAGGTCAATTTTGAATAAGTTAAAGTCATTTTGATTCAAGTCTCTTTTAATTAATCAATTGAATTTGGCTTAAACTATTTATGTCTATTAGATCGATTTTATTAGTTTAATTTAAAATATCTCGCAATCCTTTGATAGCCAACTTTTTATTAGACCTAACAAAATAAAACTAACTCAATTTAACCCAAACAAAGATTGATCCAGCTAACTTCAAGTCCCTAACAACTTGAATAATTAACACAAATAACAATTTCATACTAGCCAAACAAGTTGACTATTAAATGTTAACTAAATTAAGGGGTAGAATTTATGTTTTTAACAAAAAAGAAAAAGATTTGTTAGAAGTATAAACAAGGTTAAAGGCTACAATCTCTTTTTATTTTATTTTATTTTCCAAAAAAAAAAAAAAAAAAATCTAAAATCTTTGACAACAGTTCAAAAAATGCCTTTTAATATTTATTTTTCTAATGTTTTCTAAATTATTGGAGGCAAACCTTTTCTCCTTTACACTTGCATTCATATATATAATATGTTGATGAGACTAATATATATTTGTGTGAAAATGACAAGATGGTCCTTATTTTGTTTTTTGCATTGTCTCTTTGTTGATGCCCCTCTCCCTTTCACTTGTTGTCCTATTTTACTAACACATTAACGCCAAAAAACACCCACTACATCTTTGGTTTCACCCCCCTCTTCTTCTTCTCCTTATTTTTCTCTCTATATATACTCCAATTTTATTCCATACTCTCTTCATAGTTTTTATTCCTTTGATTTCTGTTCTTCTTAACAAAGTACAACTATTTAGTACCTCTTTTCTGCCATTTTTTCTACTCCTACAATTACTCTACCTTCCAATATTCCATCAACTACCTCTTAATCTTCCTAGATTCCTACCATTCTCCACTCTCTTTTTTCTCCTCCTCCTTGTTCGTGTATCGATCACAATGCCCTCTAGGCCATCCCTCGTTGTTAAAGAGCAACCTCGTCTAATCCATCACCCGAGGAAAAACCATGACTTAGACTTTCAATCTTTAAAAGAATTGCCTGATTCGTTTGCATGGTCATCATTTGGAGATTCGTGCTCAGTTGAGTCAGGTATTTTTGGGTCAGACACTGTACCTGTTATCAGTCTTGATGATCCAAAAGCCCAACAATATATTGGGCTTGCATGCAAATCATGGGGAGTATTTCAAGTCACTAACCATGGAATACAAAAGAGTTTGTTGGATGACATTGAGGCCGCCGGTAAAAGCCTTTTTTCATTACCGGTCCACCAAAAGCTCAAAGCGGCTCGTGTATCCGGTGGTGTTACGGGTTATGGACCGGCCCGCATTTCGTCCTTTTTCCCCAAGAGGATGTGGTCCGAGGGGTTCACCATTTTGGGATCCCCTCTTGACCATGCTCGTCAACTTTGGCCCAATGATTACAAGAAATTCTGGTAGGTACTCTTTTTCCATGCAAATACATGCAATAAAAAAAAAAGTGGCAAACTAGGCAAAGTAGCCTAGGCATCTAAATATATACACCAAATTTTCAAAAATGAAAAATAAAAAGTGAAAATTTCTAATAGAATTTGTTGTAATTTCTAAATCATTAAGAGCTATGATAAATTGATAATCAATCACTTAAAAGATCAAATTCTTTTTTTGGTATGTAATGGCATGTCGTGAGACAAAAGTTTTTAGTATGGTCCACTAAAAAGAAATAATTCATCTTTTTATGCTAGATTTGATGCCATATTTAGGACAAGATATACGTCTAATGGTTTTCTAACTTTATATCTTATCCTAATTTTTTTTCAGTGACATTATTGAGGAGTACCAAAAGGAAATGAATCGATTAGCTAAGAAGCTTATGCATCTAATTCTTGGTTCATTGGGCATATCCAACCAAGATATTATGAATTGGGCCGAACTACTTGAAGGAGCTAATGGAGCCATGCAACTAAATTCATACCCGATTTGTCCGGACCCAAATCGGGCCATGGGTTTGGCGGCTCATACGGATTCAACCCTTCTCACAATCCTACACCAAAATAGAACTTCGGGGCTCCAAGTGTTTAGAGAACGGACAGGGTGGGTCACGGTCCCACCCATTTCAGGTGGGCTTGTTATAAATATAGGTGACCTTTTGCACATTTTATCAAATGGGCAGTACCCGAGTGTGTACCATCGGGCCATGGTTAACCGGGTCCAACATCGTTTATCGGTTGCTTATCTCTATGGGCCCGCTTCCGGGGTCCGGATCCAACCCCTCCCAAACCTCATTGATGCCACCCACCCCCCTATATATAGGCCGGTTACTTGGAGTGAATATTTGGGCATCAAAGGTGAACATTTCAACGAGGCTCTCTCATTAATCCGAATTAATAATAACAATAATCCTAATAGCATTAATCATGGGACTAATTGCAAGTGATGAGCCTAATAGCATTAATGTTGATACGGATAAGACAATTCTCACTGCATTTGGCTAATCAAATGATGTTAATTATTATTTAGACTAGTCATTTTGTTTTTAAAATAAACTTATTGGTTTTTTTCACTTGGTTATTGATCCGATAATGAATAGTGTCGAGATTCATACTGAGTTGTTGTTACCATTACTACTATTTATTACTTTTTCATCACGAGGTCTTTTTTCTTGTTTCAAGACCATTTAAATGATCTTGAAATTGAGGTATTAAGTCATGATCTCATGGATTTACAAATTTGTACAATTATTAGTAATAATAATTAAACATAAATTGATGGAGAGTAATTTTCTATATACAATTATCTTGTATTCCTCTACTTTTTAAATTCAAAAATATTATTATCTCTGTCCATATTTAGTTTTCACATCGCTAGAAACCAGACTAATCTCTCGTACACCGTATTTAGTTTTCACATCGTTAAAAACCATACTAATCTATCATACACCGAATTATACGTTTAAAAAAAAGGAAAAGTTGGCATTTCAAAGCACACTTCCAAATGGTAATTAGTGAAATCAAAAGAAAATGGAATAATGCTACATACAAAACATTACAAATTAACGCAAACAGAGAAATCATGCAAGTGTCATTAATTTTCTTGTGAAATATAATTTCAGATTAGAAAAAGATAAGAAAAGGAAAATACATATTTGAATATTTAGCTCAATGACAAAAAAAAAAATCCGACAATATTCCAGGCCCAAATTGTCAAGGAAGATCCACAAGCCAAGGAATAAGACAATAATCAAGATTATGAAACAATGTTTAGGGATTATGGCACCCCATAAAAAGTTTTAATTTGGTGATAATCCCAAAAAAAAATTATATATTATCTAGAAAAAGATGGATATTTTTTTTAGTGGCTAAAACTAAATTTACATCATTTTCTTTAAAAAATAATGGCAATCCATCCCCATCCAATTGCAACCATTCATGTTTTAGCTTTCTCAATATTTGATTGTATGTATTAGGTTTGGAAGTACAATTAGATAGTGGAAACTTTGTTGCATGGAGAAGGAAAAAAAAGAAAAATTTATTTATTTATTTCTAAATATATATGTAGGTGTATGTCTAATTTTAAATATGTGAAGCTTAGTTGATTCAAGTGGTAATAAAGAATTTGCGACTCTACCTTTCACAATCTGATCTTGAAAATGATGCTTTTGACTATATCTATTGGTGTAACCTAAAGAACTAATGAAAATCGAAGTATTTTCATGGTTGAATGGAGATACGTATGTACCAAGGGAATGAAGGTGAAGAATACTATCTAAGAATATGAAGTATGTTGTATTATAAAATAGAACCAAAATATGTAATAGAGTATTTTAAGTCATTGGATCAATAAGGGTATTTACATAGAGTATTTTGTTGTTATGCACTTATTATGTAATGCATAGAACAATAGAATAGAGTATAGACTAATCTTTTATGTGCCCTAACGAGGGATGTCTTCAAACCACATCCACATGGGCATTGTCCATGACTTTTCTTCAACATTGACTAGTTTATTTTTGTTAGTTCTTAAATTAAGAGCACATAATTATTACTTCTAAATATTTAATTATCTAAATATTAGATATGATTAATACTCGTACATGATTGAATAATCTCTATTGGAGTATTGGCTATAATATTGTCTCAATTTACTTGTGATTTTTTAATCAATATTTAAATTTAGAGAATTTGGCTTTGGTTTATTTATTTATTTATTTTTAGTTAATTGTAAGTGATATCAATATGTTCATTGTTTTGATTAAATAGCACACAATACATACTCTCTCATATTCATTAACTTTAATCCATCTAACATTCATATTTGCCAATGCACAGTGTTATTATCTACTTATATAAGTAATAAAATACTATAAGAATGATTACTCCAAGGGACCGTTTGGTTCGCGCGGGGGAATCTGAATGGAATGAACAAAGGGAATGTAGGAGAATGGAATGAAACCCTTTCCAAGTACTATGTTGTTTGGTTTTCAATAAACAAAGGGAATCACCACCACCACCACATATCCCCTTTCTTTACTTTTCCAGCCACCAGGAGCCACCCCACCGCCCAGCCACAACGTCGACGGGAATTGGAAGCCCTAGCGGCTAGAGTTTCGAGGGTTGGGGGAAGGTCGACCGACATTTTTAAGGGGAGGGATGGTGTTTTCAATTTCTAGGGTTTTTGCGTGGGTGGTGGAAGTTTTTCCGGGGAGGTTAGGGGCTGCGAGGGGAGAGGTGGGGGAGGTGCGCAGGCTCCGGCGATTATGGGGGGAAGTGCGGCGAGTCCGGCGGTGGGGACTAGGTCCGCGGCGAGGTGGTTGGGATAGTTCCGGCAAGTACAACGGTGGTGGGTATGGTGGCTAGGGAAAGGGAATGGGAAAGTCTAGGGGGGTAGGGAATCAATGTAGACTAAAAATGGGTGAACTCAAAAAAAAATATGGGTAAAGGGAATAAAAAAAGTGACAAACAAACAACAACAAAGGGAATGATATCAGTTCATTCCGATTCCCTTTGATTATTAACCTCAACCAAACGGCCCCTAAAGTAGTACATCAATCATTTGAAACCAACCAGTTAAATTTTCTTAACGCATACATTATTTAAAATATTACCTACAGTAAAGGAGTGCATCGTGCATGTCAATAATGTCAAAATAAACGCTAAGTAAGTAAGAATAACCTTGGAAGTAATTTTTGCTTAGAGCTTATGATATTTTGAATTGAACTTAAAATTAATTGTTGGAAATTTGAACTTTCAATTTATTAGGCCCATCTAAAATAAAAAGTCATAAACTTGTAATTTATGCTTTTTTATCGGCTAGTTGAGTTGTCGTATGCAATATGGTAATAATACTAGATGAAAATAAAAATTGGATAAGCTTTTTGATTTGTTGAAATATTATCGCCAAGAATCCAGGCGATATGAAAACGAAATATGATAGGAGTGACACCCTTATTTAAGTGGCTTAGTATTACACACTTTTGATCCTCAAGCCGAGCAATTTTGGGAAAACTATGTTTCACCAATCACATCTATCTATCTTTCTATCACCACCCCAGGTGATTTATTGGTCATTATGCCATTCTTCAAGCCACATACATTATCCACGTATTATCGTGAAACAATAAGAGGAGTGAGGGGATGGTTAGTCCCTCCATCTCCCCCCCATGTGATGGGGGTTCGACTCTTCACAGCCCTATTCCTGTGATAGGATGGAGCCCCTCCCCGTAGTTTACTGGTTAGAAAAAAAAAATAAAAAAATTATCGTGAAACAATAATGGCGAAATTGTGTGTGTACTACGTTATATGAATGCATCCACATTTTAAAGTCAAAAGGATTTTTATGTGAGGGACGTGATAGAATATAAAACCAATCTTGAAATCAAGATACTTGATTTTGATTTTGGTTTATACTTGATATATCTTTAATTTGTAAGTAGAAAGAAGTCAAGAACAAATAAAGATGAAAAATTGGAATAAATAAACATTTGAGGCGCATATATAATTATTCTTAAGATAAGATCACAAGGAATTATGCATCACAACATTATTTTAAAAGTTGGCTCAGAAACTTTGCCATCTCATATGTTGTCATAGATTATATAACTGCATTGTAAAGCTGAAAATGGGGTATGCTGTGAATGCTTGAAAACCTTGTGGTTGCTCCAATCACAATGTATATATATATATATATATATATATATATATATATATATATATATATATATATATATATATATATATATATATATATATATATATATATATATATAGTCTGATCCAATCACGGTGTATATACATCGATCTATGATTTTACATGTACTACCTTCGATATATTTAGTTCCAACTTTGGAATATTTTATATGTCTCAAATAATAACCCAAAGTTACAACTAAAAAAAATCAGAGGCAGTATTTTTTTAAACTACTCCTCTGTTTCACAATGATCACTGTAGTGTGTGTCTTAAACAACATAAATTTAGTACCTAGATGATAAATCCTATTAATTACTAGCTTTAAAAATCTTGCAAATTAAATCTATTACGAGTACAAAACAATGAAAACAATGGTAGGACCATTGAACATAGAATTGCCAAGTTCCTTTGTCTCATGCGGCTGCGGCTTGTTCATTCATCAATTTATTTATTTATTTATTATTTTTTTTAATAATATTCCGTACTCCGTATTAGGGCCTGTTTTGATTTACTGAACGGCACTGAGCTGAATGAAGCTGAATTGAATATTTTATAAGAAAAGGAAATTAGAAATTGAACTGAAATGAACGGAAAATAACCTAAAGAAAACAGACCCTTAATTATTTTGTCAATATGTAATCTAATTGGTTTGTAGAGTGTAAACAAGAAGTACATGTGAATAACTAGGAACAAGTACAAATAGCAAGCATATGATAGGACGAGTTTGTCAAAACTCTGAAGGCATCGTATTTGGATCATTTTTCATAATCCATAGGATCCAATAGATTTGATTAAATAATTAAATTTAATTATGTAAAAGCCAAATACATTAAAACTAGGATAATCCCACTCTTAAGACCAAAATCAAAGTTCTCTTCATATACAATGAATTATGGACTATAGTACTTAAAATTACTTTTACTTTGTGAATGATTAACTATCTTAGTTAGTTAAAACTTTGAGAGTTGGTATTGAAATTAATTTCCGTTTATAATATTTGTCCATGTAACTCTCTTCACACACATCTTATTGTAGAAAATCTTATTTGAAGTAAAGAGAAAAGTTTAATTTTTGGTATAATAATTAATAAATAGTAATATGTGAAAGATTCAATAGTCAAAGAGGGAAAATCTATGTATATGGTAGGTAAGACGAAACTAGGAATAGAAATAAAGGTGATAAATCACTCTTAATTGGACAATTTTTACTCCTTGTCTATTTTATGAGGGGTACACTGGTATCAGCATATTGATCTCTTACACTATTTGAATTATACAATCGATAAATACAATCTTTGTTGTTTTATGTGCTAGTTACATCGTATACAAACAATTATTTATAACATAATATGCAATTCAACCTGAAATAAAAGAAGTAAAATAAAAATAGCATCTTATATTCTCCTCCTCATTTGCTAGGTACATGAGCATGTTAGGAAAGGTGGGGCGACGATACAAAATCAATTACATAATACTAAAAGCAAATCTGACATGACACTTGTCATGTTCTGATTAAAAATTTCCCGCCACTTTTTTCTTTCCAATTTTTTTTCTTTTTTGTACAAATTAAAATCTCCATTAATATTATTT